AATATTACATGTTAATAACTTGATTGGAATTATAACCTTGAATTGACAGTTTGATACTTTGAAAATTTTGAGCCAGCCCTACCCCCAAGGGCTGTAGGGTGGGGCTCAAAGGAGTCAGTGTGCTAAAATTTCTTCATTTTCCTTGTTAAGAATCAGAGATGCTAGTTTCAAATCCTTTTTAGTCTGAAATCTGTATGCTAGATATTGAGTAAGGTGGTTTTATTGTTTTTTGTCACTTTGAATAATATTTCTGTTCATGTTAAAAACAAAATCAACTCTCTGTATAAATATATCAGGTGACCGTTAAGGCCCATGGGCCTCCTGTCTTATATACTTGCAATTAAAATCAGTGGTTTGTACAGTAGGATCCACTTTAGAAGTTGGCAATTTCATTTGCTTTCATATTTTGAACTTCTAAGGTGTTTGTCAAATTGACATTTTGGCCTTCTTTGTCTAAGGGGTTTGTTAAATTGACATTTTGGCCTTCTTTGTCTCATCAATGTTTCACAGACACTAACTAGAGGTGGGATAAAGGCCCTTTGCCAAAACGTCAATACCGGTAGTCACGTCATTGATGTTTTCTAAAGTGGTTACTTAGTCCCTGCCTATATTTAACATGTAGTGGAATGGGTCAGTCATGTGGTTATTCAAATTTGTACTGTAACATTTATCCAATTAAGACCACAGGAAGAGTATTATTTCATTTGAACTGACCACGTTAGTTATAAAGAGTGTTTAGCTTTTGAGGTCATCCGAAGCATGTATGGTTTTCTAAGGGATGTATATCTATTATCCTATGCATTTGGGTTGACAAATATAATTGATTTCTCTCGGCAATTAAATGGGCCATGTTTTTTTTTACCAGATTGTGCATAATCAGGTGAAGAACCGGGTCTCTTGGACCTTTTGTTGTTCATAAGATGCGTATTGAAAGGCCAGAACAGATTGTTTTTCTTATCAGCAAGATGCCATTTTTTTAGGTGATAAATACAATCAACGTCCCTGCAAGGAAGTCAGTGTTCCATAGTGGCGGTAGGGATCCTGGGGTGGATACCTTAATGGTATTCAACAGTGCTCATCAGGGAAAGCAGAGCAAATGAAAATAGAAATTATGAGCAACAACACCTCCAATCAAACATTACACTTTGTACAAGATTCAGTGGCATTGTTGCTCATCATTTCTATTTTCATATCCTCTATATAGTCATTCTATCTACGGTAAACATAACTATTGAGTGTGTTGCGAACACGGAGAATAGTCCAACATTAATTTTCAGTTAAATCTACTGACTAATGGAAAAGTATGGTGAATTATCAATTATTTGCTTATTCAGAAGGATGTCTCTTTAAAGGAAAGATTTTAGTGGAAAGCTCATTGCATTGTCAGCCTTTACAAGGAAATATTGTTTGTGGGAGATTTAGCGTAGTTAACATTCCAGTTATTGTGGAAGAAGTTGCACTTATTTTTCTTATACCTA